TAGCTGCTACAGTCCTGAAAGGTCAAGGTCGTAGCTGCTACAGTCCTGAAAGGTCAAGGTCGTAGCTGCTACAGTCCTGAAAGGTCAAGGTCGTAGCTGCTACCTTCCGGAAGTAAACAGACTTCCCGAAGGTCCGGAAGTGACCTTTTGAGAATTGCTTAGGTTAGGCTAGAGGCAAGTGGGCAAGTGGGCAGTCCAACCTCGCCTAGTCAACGGTACCCAGTCCCAGTCAGCAAGTACCGAATGGGACTGTGTGCACCCTGGGCTCGGTGGAAAGGGGCAGACCAACGAACAACCGAAGTATAAATTAAGAGGCAGTGTCCAGTCATTCATTCATTCTGCCTGTGAGCAGTGCGGAAGCGCTGCCTGAGTGTCTTGTGCAAGGAGGTCTGCAGGTGCCCAAGGGAGAAGTGGGCTGAGAAGGAGACGAAGCGGCCATAGCCGCTAGTTAGTAGGGAAGGTAGAAGGCAGCCATAGCTGCCCTAGGTTAGAGGTAGGCTGTAGCAAAGTGTGCGAGTGTTATGTCCAGTGTGTGCATGTGTGGAACATCCAGGGAGATCCAGAGTAGCGTGCGTGTGAACAGTCGCTGGTAATACAGTGTCGCCTGGATGTTGTGAGAGTGCACAGGCGCCATAGCCATTCGGAGCAAGTCTGAATCTGAACTGTATTCTTGGTCTCAATATCTCTGAGCTTTGTGTGGGCGCCTGGCACCAGTGTGATGGTCATCTGTTTTCATGCATGCTGAGTGAAGAAGAAGACGAGTCTGGTTGCAGCATAGTACTTACACCCTACATAGTACATAGTACATACAGATGCATAACCGGATGGAACATAGGCAATAACAAACACTTCCCATTCAAAGCCCCCATTCGGTGTGACGCAGCAAGCTATTCAAAGCCAAAGCGTGATTGTGCACAAAGCCCCCTTCAGATTCCCTCCCCATTAATTCCAACTTCCAAACCCAAAACGCATAAAACTGGAGACCCAACTAAGCTAAGTAGTGCCCCCCCTTGACATGGGACCCCCAACTCCTGAACAGCGTTTCACAGCAGCAGTCTGTAACATCTACCCGCCAGGAGAACGAGTCTGCATATAAATGAAGCCCTTCTGATCCTCCCCCCCCCCCCCCTCTCTATTCCAAATTTCAAACCCAAAATGCATAAATCGAAGCGCCAACTAAATACTACCCACTTTAAATGGGACCCCAAGCTCTGAACAACGTTTCCCAACTTTCTGTTGGAAAATCATGTACCCATACAAAATCGTGGACCCATACAAAACCATGTACCCATACAAAATCATGTACTCATACACCCCATACAAAACCATGTACTCATACACCCCTTGACATGGGACCCCAAGTTCTGAACAACGTTTCCCAACTTTCCGTTGGAAAATCATGTACCCACACCAAATCATGTACCAATACTACCCATAGAAGACCATGTACTTGTACAAAATAATGTTGAGATAATTCAGCATTATTTGACACGACTCATTGCCAAGTTCCGGCTCTTCCTTCGACAGAGCAGACAATTCTTTCCCAAACTTTGCACCTTCCTTCAACAGAGCAGAGCCAACGACGGGTTAATTGAGCTTTCTCAGATTCTCTGTATCAGTATTAGAATTTTTTTATTAATCCTTGGTACAGGGGTGGGAAGACAGGCAGACAAAGCCGAACAGCACGACGCCATACAGGAAGACAGAGCGAAACTGAGAAACTGACGACATGGCGGCGAGGCGGGCAACCCGACCAGGCAAGAGCAACTTGAGCTATACAGTGCACAGGCGATGCGCTGCAGCTCTCGTCGCCGTGCGCGGTTTTCGAGAACAGTCGTCGTAAATATTGTCAGTGTCAGATATCTGGCAGAGGCAAACAGAATTGAAATCCCGGGTGACTCAGTGATACATCAGAGCAACAACACCCCCACACGTCCAGACAATGTCGCAACGTTGTCCATCCCGACCTCATCGCCTTGCGGTCAAAGCCCTGCTGCGCGGACGAGCATGGGTCACTGCTACAGGATTGAGGTTGACATGGAATGCCAAAGCCCATGCATCCTTCACATACTGAGCAACCATAACCTTCGCTGTACGGGCTGACCTGCAGTAACAAATTGCAACAAAGCCAAATCCGCGCGGTTAAAATATGAAATGACGATAAAAACGATACCCAAATCAGTATGCAAGGAATGGAACAAAAAAAAAGATACCCAAGTCTGGCAAATCGCAGGACCAGTACATTCTAAGGACTTAGCCTTCAGCCCTTTGCTTTGTCTTTTCCCCTTTTCCCTCACTCTTCTGAAAAAAAAGGGAAAATTGCATCTGTAGTATCTGTACCCCACTAAAAGATGGGGATACGCGGCGCTATACCCAGTCCCAGCGCCAACTTGCATCTATACCTGGAACCCCGTCAACTTTGCTCCTCTGCGGAATTGTGGGCGTACCCAGTCCCACAAGGCCTTTGGTCCAGAGAATCAAATTATGCTCATGCCCAGAAACCGGGCTGGCGACATTGTGGGTGTGCCAAGTGGACCATTGTGGCCCAACGGCATCTAGGTATAAGCGTAATTTCAGCCATCCGGTGGTTACGTATATGAATAATTTGGCCGGTCCACCTCAGTCCCGGGTATGCCCATAAATTTGCCTGGGTATGTCCATAATTTCTGCATTCCGGTAGTTGGTTATAAGCGCAAAATTGCAGTACCGACCTGGGTGGACGTCGGTCCTGGGCATGCAAATAATTTCCACCAGCCGTTTTCCGGGTATAGATCCAAGTTGGCGCTGGGACTGGGTATAGCGGGTGCTCAGAAAACCTCCTCCTTAAAAAAAAAAAAAAAAAAAAAAAAAAAGGCTGTTTTTTGCCTGCACAGGGTTGCCCCGTGCAGGTGACCCTCCGGCGACTTGCCCAGGTTGCAGGGCCGGGCGAGCAAAGTAGCCTGGAAAATGAAATCCTTAGCCAAAGCCAGGCAATGGCGGCCCCGGTGCTTGTAAAATTGCCACAATCTTTTGTGAACGGACGCTGGGCTCGGTTCCCAGCAAGTGTTGCTCCCCACAAATACATTGGAGCATGTTCTTCAAAAAAAAAAAAAAAAAAAAAGTTCTGATGAAATTGATGTGGAGACAGTGGTCAGATTTGCATACTGCAGAACTCTGAATGTCGCTATGTCATAGGGGGGATTCACAGAGGTGGATGTTGACGCATGTCGTCTGCACTTCCATCCCCGCGCGGTGTGAAAGCTGCTGGCGAGACTTCCACACCACAGCGCCTGTAAGCGCTCCAACAACAAACCTGCAAAGTTGCAAACCCGTCAATGGGCTCAAAAAAAAAACAACCGTCGGACACAGGCCTTGCCTTGCGAGCATCTTCACGGCCGCCAAGTGGGAGTCAACCGGGATCCCTCCCGAAAGCCCGTGAACTTCCCGTCTGGCATGGCAGGTTCTGCAAGCAGTCTGCACTGGCCATCAAAGGCGCACAGGAGGAGTCTGCGACTCTTCCCTTGCCAGATTCGTGTTCCCGAAAAGAAAAAAAGGTTAACCAGTTGTTCGCGAAGGCATCCGGTGCAACCGGTCACCAGAAAATAAAAACAACTGACAAAATCTCCCTGGACCAAGCAGATCTAAGGATGATGCGGTCAGGTATTGAAAGAGAAGAGCTGGCCCCCGAAGCTCTCCTTGATATGCATCAATCAGGTCACAAGGTATCGACAATCACAGATGGGCGATCTCACTTATTAGATGATGAAGGAAAGGAATATTATCCGTGAGCAACGTCGATTTTGGTGAGGATGTTGAGATGGAGAAAAACCCTCCTCACGAGGATGATATCGGTCCTGATTTCTTTCAGAATTTTTCATGCACAATACTCGTTGCAAAAATCATTAACACCGGTGCACTCAGGAATTCGCAACGGGTACCCCAGTCCAGCCTGTGGCTAGCTGCGGGCACTCGGTGAAGCATTTTTTCCAGATCCAGTGGGGGCAGTGGCCGTTCATTTCTCCCATTGCAACAACCTCACAGAGTCACAGAATAAACACACAAATGGCCAAGCATTTACTCTCACCTGGACAAGCTCTCCCATTCTTTACTCACTGCATAGGCAAAGACGAGCCCCATGGTCACGCCAATCGTTCCTTTGATGTCGACCCAGTTTACCCACTTCTGGATGGCCGGAAACGTGGATAGATTCGCCCTCGCTACCAACCGCGCGGCGAGGCCGATCACCCAAGACGAACACAACTCCAACAATCTCCTGAACTTTCCACTGTACGCCTGTGGGTGTACCACAGCTCCTCTCCACGGCACCTCAGCTGCCTGTCGCCCACTATTCATCTCACGGTGGGCGTTTCCCGGTGCTTCTCTCGCTTGAAGGGCACATTCAGCGGCCCCACCTTCGTGCGGCACACCTTCGGACACAATCCCTAGGGTATCTCTGGCCTGCTGTTGATTCGACTCATGTGGTATCTGCAATTCCCTCTTCGAAAAAGCCTTCTCCTCAGATCTCAACAGCGAGTTGCTGTTGCGATCCCCCGTCACTGCCGACATGGCTCTACCGGTTCTCGATATGTGCATGCCTTTTTTGCTCGATGACACAAGTACCGTGGAATTGCTCCGCCCGCTGTCCATCTGAAGGAACTTTTCCCGAACAGCCTGGAGTTTATTCAGCAATGCCTAAACACAGCAAACACAAGGGCAGGTCATCACAAAGAGATAATGCCCGTGAACAACCATTGAATGTCGGTGGTCTTCTATTATGGGTAAGCCGTCCTAAGCACACCATATTCACATTAAGCCAGAGAACAACCACTAAAGATGACCCAGGAAGACCAAAATCCTTGTTTGCCCATCTTACCCACAGTCAACTTCGAACATCAACTAACACAACAGTTATGGGAGCCAACCAATTCGGCTGCCTGGTCAGCGGTGCACTAACGAGTTGCATCTCCCATGGCACTGAGTCACCAACAAATTTCCAGGCACTCTCAGCAAGACATTTCTGGGGAACTATTGCTGACGCGAACCTACGGCTGGTTGGCCATATTTTGAGTTGTGGTCCAGGGGGGTTCAGAGAGGGTTCAAGAGGGTGGGGTAGGGTGGGGTGGGGTGGGTGGGGGGGGGAGGAGGGAAGAGAGTGGGTGGTGTTCCGTGAGTGAATGTATGGACGAACTGATAATGATGCATGGGCCATAGAAAGTCGACACCTCAACCGGTGATGACAACGACTCTACACGTACAGTGGATATGCAAGAGAGAAGGGTAACAAACACAAAGAAGAGAAGAAGAGAAGGGGGGGGGGAGGGCAGCAGGGGAAAGAAAAAGCCACACAGTGGTTGTTTCCTTCTACCATAAGTGATTATGAACAACAAGCGACATCAACAGTGGTTGTGGATGACCACAGGAAAGTTTAGGAAGAAAGAGAAGAGAAAGGATGGGGGGAGCAGGGGGGAGGGGGGCGGAGCGGAGTCGGGGGAGATTTGGCTCACCTGTGTACTCCTGTTGACTCAGTCGATGCACTCTGCTGGAGGTCAGAAAGCCTTCGAAAAACGGTCCTTTTTTTCTGTTTTTTTTGTGCTTTCTACATTTGCACGCGAGTTACCTCCATGTTGAGGCTGAAGGGTTTGGTGGGTTCGCGCGGGGGGAAACATATACTACACTTGAACGTGCTGGAGGGGGGGGGTGCAGTTAGTTAGATTGGGTCTCTCTCTCTCTCTGACCACGGCTCAGATTTGAAACTGCTCGGAACAGATATCACACTTGATCGTGGGGTCTCTCTCTCTCTCTCTCTCTCTCTCTCTCTCTGTGTGTGT